ATTAAAACGCGACTAGAATAGCTGGAAATGTACATGCATTTTATCCCTTGTCAGTGTGAATTGGCCCTTTGGCCCTTATTGCCAAAGTGTAATTGAACAAGCTGAGGTTAGAAGGTGATTGCTTTCTATGCAGAACTGAGCATGATTTTCACTCTCCAGCTATGTAAGCTTCGTTGTGTGCGTATCATTAGTATGTGCTCATTCCTGCCTTCATTCTGTATTTGGAATGACTATTTGTAATCCTGCTCTATTGAATTTACAGGTGTTTGTCTTGACCAGGGGTGGACTGACATCATGGAGCCCCTGTGTCCTTGCCCAAACTCAAAAAAGCCTATGAAAAAAGTACCCGGGGCATCTCATGGGGCCCCCTACTGACCCCCGGCCCTCGGGCAGTGCCCGAGTTTCCAAATGGTCAGTCCGCCCTTGGTCTTGACCATATGTAAGGGAGCCGAAAAGTGCATCTAAAGCCAACTTTTTTTTTTTTTTCCATCTTCGATAGATTGGGGAAGGGTTACAACTATTTCTTGCTCAATGGCTCTGTCTTGAGGCCTGCTCTTTATCTTGCACGCTCTCTCTCTGTCTTGTGAAAGCTCCCTCTCCCTCTGGCTTGTGCGCACGCTGTCCCTCTGTCTTGCCCACACTCTCTTGTGTGCACTCTTTCTGTCTTTTGCATGCTCTCTCTCTTGCGTTGCCTTTTGCATGCGCTCTCTCTGTCTCTGGTGCGCACGCGCTCTCTCTGTCTCTGGTGCGCACGCGCTCTCTCTGTCTCTGGTGCGCACGCGCTCTCTCTGTCTCTGGTGCGCACGCGCTCTCTCTGTCTCTGGTGCGCACGCGCTCTCTCTGTCTCTGGTGCGCACGCGCTCTCTCTGGTGCGCACGCGCTCTCTCTGTCTCTGGTGCGCACGCACTCTCTCTGGTGCGCACGCGCTCTCTCTGTCTCTGGTGCGCGCTCTCTCTGTCTCTGGTGCGCACGCGCTCTGTCTCTGGTGCGCACGCACGCTCTCTCATGCACACTCTCTCTGTTTTGCGCACTCTCTTGCTGTCTTGATCTGTCTCTCTCGCTCTCTTGCTTACATGCTCTCTTTTGCTCGCACGCACGCTCTCTCTTGCGCTCTTTGGGGCTTTCCCTCTCTCTTATCTGCTGACTTGATTTTCTTGCACTTCCTGTTGTGTCGGTGAGGCAGAAAGTGAAGGAAAACCTCAAACTGTAGAAGTTTTTTTTTTTTCTTTAGATTTTCTATGAAATAATTGACATACTGTATATTCTCTTGTGCCAACTGTTGCTTTCACCAGAAGCTAAGTGGGACAATTTGCAGAGACAATCAGAAAGAAGTGATGTTATGGATTTACTAAACTTTAAGCAGAACTCATGATAAGGACCTGATCTAACCACTGGGACCTGTAGACACATGGGGGAAATTCATAAATGGTGTGGTAGACACCCTTTAGGCTAAGTTCACACATGCGGGTCGGGGATTGCGTGCTAATCGCATGTGTTCCTCTACCCACAGCACAAAACACACTGCTGCCATTCATTCCTAATGGCACCCCCATGCATCGGAATATGTGACATTTTCAGATGCGTGAAATCCTTTTCGTCTGACAGCGTTTTGAAAAAAGGGTTGTTTTTTCTGTGTGTTTCTAGAAGGTACAGCTTTCCACTCAAATGAATGGGCTGCTGTGCCTTTGCAAATGCAGAAAGAAGGACCCGCACAAGTTTGAAGCCTAGCCTTGGAATTCCATCGTGCTTTAGCACCGAAACGGGCTCTGCGGCCATTGTGACTAGTTTCCCATCAGGTACACCTCCCCTTTGACTTGTCATTTCCCAAATATAGCCATCCTTACTGCCTTTGTTTACATTCAGCTTTCAGACAAGGAATCTCCCATCTCACAGCTGAATGGGGCTAGCAATAGATCCCAGTGTGGGGTCACATTCATGACATCTTCCCAGCACTGGCATGCCCTGCTGTGAGCATTGGTTTACAGTTTGTGAACAGGCAGGTTTTTTTAATGCAGAAGAGACAAACTTTTCCGTCTGCCAAGATAAATGAACTCCTGCGCATGCATGGGACTGACATCATCTTGGCGGCAGTACAAACTACCTGAATTTAATGCATGTGTCAGTACTGTTACGGATACAAATGCTTGCCTAAATTTATGAACACATAATTGTCATAAATGCCTTACCACAATCCAAACACAGCCTTTTGGTGCCCTGAGCCACAGCACTCTGCTAAGATCAAAGAATATTTACTTACTTTACTGGTCCTGAATTGGGTTGGAATACTATATATGGGTGTAAATAAGCTTGCATAGGATGACTGTAGCTCTACCGATGATGGCAAAATTTGTGTCCCTTGCCCTGTTCCTGGTCTCTCACCTCCAAATTTCCTGTATCAGCCTATAGATTAGCAGATCTTCATCCTCTCCATCCTCTTGGGTCTTTTTGATAAAGGTATCATCGCCCTAATTCCTATGGCATTAGAGGTTTTTCTCTAACTCATTCACTGTTCCCATCCACCTCATCATGGATCTCAAGTTCTGAATTTTTTTTTTTTTTTTTTTTTATTTTGATCCAGGATTTCTGCATGGAATTCAACATATCTGTTATCTCCTTTCACCAGGTAGACAATCTACTGATTGACTTCTGTACAACAAGCCTGTTAGAAAATTTCCACACGATCAGCACCACCGTCTATAGCCAAATAGCTATAGTATTTTGATAGTGGGTAAATCTCCCCGCTGTCAGAACACAATAGCTCAGTGGGGAGGATTTCCCCATCCATCTCAGAATTGGGTCTTTTTTTTTTTTTTTTTTTATTCAATCAGCTGATTAGCGTTTCACTTGTCGCTTCCCCTGTTTGTTCCCCTGTGACTTTGTGAGATTTGAATTTGGTTCTCTATGCCCTTCCGAGATCACCTATCAGAGATATTCCCTTCTCAACTCTCGCCCACGAAGTGGTGTTTGCTGTAGCCAGCCCCCTGGATGAGTGTCTGAACTTTCAGCCTTGTTCTGCAAAGAAACTTTTCTGGTATTACCTAGGGACAAGGTGGGGTTGAGATCCAGGACTTTCTTTTTCCCTAAGGTAATTTCACCTCAACCAGGACATTGTTTTTCTGTCTGGCTCCAATTGACCAAAAGAAAATTTAGGAGGTTTCTGGTACTGCGTTCTGGTATGAATGGGCCCTTACTCTTTCAGTATTATGTAACAGAGCTACTGCCTGACTTATTTTCTACATTCTACAAGTCAGATATTCAGGTATCATCTGATGCCAGGTTCAGACGTTATGTCCTTCCAGTGGCTACAGTTCCCAGTTTTCTGTTGTGTTTTTTGGGTCCATTAACCTTTTGTTGCTATGGAGGGATTTCTCTTCTTTCCTGTCAATTAGACATAACCTGAAGCAATAGGAACTCTTTCCAAAGTAAAGTTCCTCTGAGTTGTCCCAATATAGGTGGCACTGTGGCAATAAAAAAAAAAAAAAAGCTTTTAGATACATTCTTCAGTGCAGGAGAAATACAGTATATGCACTAGTCTTTAATTTTTATAAACGTACATTATGCTATGCTTTACTGAGATTTGGAATAAAGTTTTGTCTGCTGGGTTTTTTTGTCCTTTGGCATGCCTGTCCGCATTTCAGCTGATCTTTTAGGAAGAATGATTTTTATTTTTAATGATTGTGTGTCAGGAATATACTATAGTTTTCTGGTTGACTGCTGATGTTTTTTCCTATTTTATATATTCTACATTTTTTTTTTCTTTTTAATTGTTTTGATAATGGAGTTCACATTACCAACTGAAGGGCTTTTACCCTTAAAGATCTGTTCTGTCCCCTATGGGACAAAGAACATGTAGTACTTTGCCCCAGGTTTTTAGGTGTATGTGCTAGCTATGAGATCTCACCTGCACCCTTCCCCTCCTGTCACAGCCAATCCAACAACAGCTAGGAAGGAGAAGGATGCTTCATAATAGCAGCTCTGAACACTTTCCCCAGACGACAGGCAACGCCAAGAGGAAAGCAGGACAAGTGCTCCAAGCTGAGACAAACTGCCATTATGAAGTGTTTGTCTCTTTCCTAGCTCCTAATTCCTCATAGCTAGGGTCAGAAAGCACCTATCCATATGGGACAAAGTTCTACATGCATTTTGTCCCATCAGGGATAAGGGGACAGCGCAATTTTTGTGTGTGTGTGTGTGTGTGTGTGTGTGTGTGTGTATATGTATATAATATAATATGAGAGCGAAAAAAATCCTCTTCATTGTTAAATGAATGTTAGAAAAAACATCAACCACTTTGACAACAAAAAAAATTGTTTTGTATTTGACCTTGTTGTGAAGTTAAATTGACTATACTGCACTGCAATACTCTGCAAACATTTTTCTGAATGTGAAATGCTTCCAGAACCCGAAATTGTACTCTACCAGTTTCAACTAGAGAGTTGACCCCTTCCCTGTGCTTCATAATTTGTCAGTGAGGCTGCCTAAGGAAGGTAAAATCACAGAATTCCTAAAAGAGACCCTGTCACAAAAGTAAAAAATCTTATTAATGCACATACCCTTAAAGAATAAGCTGGGTACTTATTTTTCCACAGTGTTGCAGAACATTGATCCATTGATGAAGATTTGTCCCCTGACTTCTGAGAGTATCAATTTTCTCTGTCACCCAAAGTGTTCAGTGGTCCTCTCTGTCGACCTCCGTGTCATTACACAAGTCAAGGGACTGAGGGGCGAGCATGCAACTAGATTACAGTGGCAGTTTAGTTTTTATTCACCACTATAATTATGCTTGCTTGAATATGTATGTTTTCTATGACATCATATGAATTTTCATAGTTTACGTATGCATAATGCCTAGATTGTAAGCTCTAACAAGCAGGGCCCTCTGTTTCCTCTTGTACCAAATTGTATTGTAACTGTAATGTCTACCTTCATTTTGTAAAGTGCTGTGCAAACTGCTGGCACTATATAAATCCTGTATAATAATAATTTGCTATCATCCACAGAAGTCCTAGAAACCCCAGAAGGTGTAACAAAGATCCTGCCATATCAACTGAGGTAAGTAAATCTGAATCTGGCAAAACCAAATCTCTCCTCTTTATATTATATCTTTGGTAGCAGATGATATTCTTTCTATGTGTCAGTTTTATTTCGTATTATTTGCATTATAAGAATTATATTTTATTAGTATGAACAAATATTTGAAAACACCTTCTACTGTTCTGATGTGTTTAAAAGTTGGATATAAGGGTTGCCCCCCACGTCTCCCTTCCTCTGTATTATAGCAGTGAAGACACTTGTCATTAAAAGAGAAGTGTGGGAATGTTTTTACAATTAAACTTGTGTAAGTGGATGCAGCATCAGTCCAATGCTGCATCTGTCCCCCGCCAGATCTAAAGGTGAGAAATGAGTGATCGGACACCGCTGATTGCTCAGTTCTCCGTGCTGTTCTGAGCAGAGCTGTATGCTCTGCCCCTACCCCTTCCCCAGCACTCAATCGGGGGGGTGGGAGCGGCTGGGTCAGACTTTCATCGGCTCGCTGAGAAGCTAAGACAGGTGCCAATCCAGGTTTCTGAGTGGATCCCAACCATATGGTCAGGATCTTTTTGCAGCCTGGACCGGCTGTGTGATGTCAACTGATAGTGGACTTTAGCCCGCTGTCAGCTGAAAACAGGTCACAGGAGTGCAGAACGAACTGCACTCCTGTGATCCACAGGAGAAGTAGAGCCAAAAGAGCTTTGGTTGTACTTCTCCATTAACATCCACCATATTCAATTGCCGTTAACTTCTGAAATACATATATTCAGTACTGATTGCACCAGTGATGTAAGTTTTGCATAGCCTACTGGGTTTTCTAGAGTGCACGGCAAGTGTGATTTCCTGTAGGACTGTGGTTTGCTCATATTAGATGTACAGAAGGAGCTGGAATAAAACCCTTATTAGACTAATACAGCTGTGTGTGCCATTCGAACTTCACCTATTTGTCTTTGTAAACAGGCATTTTTAGGCAGGACAGTTAAGGTTAGTTGTGCGTGTTCTTGTTTTTTTTTTTTTTTTGACTATTGTCACAAGGTAGGTCTCCTCCACGGGGTGATATAGAGCAATAAAGACCTGAAAAAGGAGTTTTATCCTAAGCCAAACAAGATTTTCAAGCCCTCCTTATACACTTTTCCATTCTAGCAAGACCGTTAACATAACTTTATAATAAAATTTGAGTAGGAATATATGTCCACATTAAAGAGGTTTTATTAATCGATCCCTTTTTAATGTCTGGCTTAAAATGGACCCTGCAGTCATAATGCCATTATTTTGAAGATCTCTTGCTATCGCTGATCACTGGGAGTCGTTGTTTTTTGCTGCATTATTGCTGACCATCCAGCCTACGGCTAGATATCCAGATTGCTGTTTCTGGACATAACAATGTACCAAGTGATGGCTTCACTGCTTTCTAATTACTCAGGAGAACCATTAGTGGGTATGCAAGCAATATCAATTCAAATCTGCTGCCCTGGTTCCTGTCTGCTGGAAGAAACGTATTAGTCATAGACCACTACACTTACCATAATTTGAGTTTTATGTTCTTCCAGTGGAGCAAGATTGCAGGAAACTCATCATTGTCCTCGAAGCTGGTTTCACTTTCTGAAATAGAACGTTAAAGTTTGGAGTGTCTGGCCTGCAACTACACAGTTGTGTCTTGTCCAAAATACCAGCTTTCTAGCAATAAGGCAGTTTTGAGCAGTTGGGTGTTCAGTTGCTTTACAGTTTATGTAAAAGGAAAGCCATGGACAACTAAGCTATGTTCCTGCATTCATTTCAAGGCTGCAGTTTTGTCGGAAGTGCATTTTATTCGAAGCTACAAAATGCAGTGACCATACCAGTAAACTGAAATCAGATTTCAGTTTACTACATAATCAGGTCAGTAAAACATTAGTATGTTGGGATCTTTAACTTTGCACATAATAATTGTCCTTTTTATTGTCTCTACTAAATAAACCTATTTGGCTTTACACTGCTTATTCCCCAAAACCCATACCAGCAATTGATGCTTTCATAACTATAATGTTCAGTACATATTTGGCGCTGTCCACTGATTTAATTCTATACTTAGTACAGGGTATTTATGAAAACTAATCTACAATTATATATTTTGACCTTCTCGAGCTTTGTACAAGCTTGTGTTACAGTTTGTTGCAAATCATGTGTGATTTTTATATGCTAACTGCCATCAGACACTGAATTTTCATTTTTAAACTCCTGAAGTATTTCTAATCTTTCTTGTTTTTTGTTTTTGTTTAGGGAAAAGTGCCTTTTTCCCCTTCAACTTGCTTTGGAGTCCAAAAATACCAAGCTGGCCCAACATGCACTGGCTGGAATGCAGGTAAGGAGACCATAAAAGTTTTAGTTTAGTTTAGTTCAGGTACATGTGTCCTGATAATAGCTGTGCAGAAGTTTGTTTTAGAGAAAAAATACACCAATTGGTATTTTGTAAAAAATGGAAAAAAAAAAAATCAGTCCTGCACAGAAAAGTCACCTCTGTGCTGCATACCAGTGTTTCTCAACCTTCTTTCAGTCAAGGTACCCTTTTAATATTCTGCACAATCTTGAGGCACCCCAGTCTCAAATGTAAAACACTAAACTAATAGTTTTACATACTACAAGGCATCACACACACACGTAGGACACCCATCACCTAAAGACCTGGTGTAAGATGGAAGAATTTGGGTTTTTAGAGCACTAGGTTGCCTTTTCATTGGGGTGCAACCTGTATGCTAGAGATGGTTTACACCTAAATGGAAGGTGTCTGCTGTGCTGGAGGAGAGGTTTATGGGAAGGCTGGAGGAGTATTTTTAAACTAGGATTGAGGGAGGAGGGAGAATTAGATTATAATGGGGCAGACAGATCAGAGAGAGGTCAGTCTAGGTGGGTGGAATGGGGAAAGATGGGGAGGGCTATGGCAGATAAGAAGGTTCCCATGTTACAAACAACCATTGGAATTGGTACCATTTGTATGAAAATAAAAAATATGCAAAATACGTGTGCAAAAGGTGTCATTGAATTTAAAGGTTTGTTCACCAATGCTAGAAGTCTGCCAAGCAAAATAGGTGAGTTGGAAACTTTGGTGCATGAAGAGAACTATAATTTAGTTGGTATTGCTGAATCTTGGCTTCATTCTTCACATGACTGAGCCATTAATATTCCTGGCTATGTTCTCTTTCGGAGAGACAGGGTAAGTAGAAAGGTGGTAGTGTTTGGCTCTATGTGAGAAGTGTGATCTCAGAGCGAGTGTGAAAGAGGGCCTAGTTGATGGAGAGCGAGCTAAGGCTGAAGCATTCTTGGTGGAACTGCACATGGGGGTGCGTACTACAAAGGTAATCATTGGAGTTTGTTATAGGCCTCCCAGTGTTAATGAGGAGGTGGAGACTCAGCTCCTTGCACAGATCGAAAGGGCTGGGACCGTAATAATAATAATGGGTGATTTTAACTACCCAGAAAGTGACTGGAGTAATGGTACTGCAGGAACATTTAAAGGGGGAAAAATGTATAAACCTACTACAGGACAATTTTATGGTACAGTTCATAGAGGCCCCAACTAGGAATGATGCTCTGCTGGACCTGGTAATCTCAAACCATGCAGAGCTTATTACTAATATTCATATAAAAGAACATCTTGGCAGCAGTGACCATAACATGATTTAGTTTGTTAGCTGTAAACATCAAAAACACAGGGGGAAAATAAAAACACTAAATTTTAAGAGAGCTAATTTTCCAAGGCTGAGAGCTGCTCTCCAAGAACTAGACTGGGAGGGAATATTGGCATTGATGAACACAACACAGAAATGGGAGTTCTTCAAAAAGACTGTATGTGAACACACTGCAAAAAATATTCCTACGGGCAGCAAGTTTAAAAGGCTAAAAATCAAACCTATGTGGCTTACGGCCAAAGTTAAAAAAAGCTATAAATAATAAGAAAAGAGCTTTTATTAAATATAAAAATGTGCCTCCAGTGCTGACAGAGCAGGGCAAACAAGGATGCTGTGCAGGTGCCCAATGTCATCCTTATCAACCGATGATGTCATTGGTTTTTAGGATGCTGTCAACTAGAAGGTTGTAATAGTGAACCTGTGGCTTTTTGTAACTAAGAGGCAGGCTTGATCCACCAGCTGGCTTGTATGCAATTTTAGGCATTTTGCCAAGGCACCCCTGACGAAACCTGAAGGCACCCAAGGGTGCCTGGGGACCCTGGTTGCATACAATAAATAAATGTCCTCAGCATATAGGGAAAATCTCTATCGTTGTGGTAGTATACTTCTCACTATTTTTAGCCAAAATATAAGTGGCGTTGACCACACGATGTCATAACATATTTGGCTAAACAGCCATCTACCAGGGAGTCATCAACTCAAAGATACAAATACAAATAAATAAAAAAAAAACAAAAAGTGAAGCACGTTAAAGGATGACCCAACGGTATTTACAATATGTACCAAATAAGTCTATTTCCTGAAAGCTAGTTTAAAATTTTATTACAAAATTATATCAACTATGAAGAAACAATACATACTGTTGAACTGAATTTTTGTGCAAAAGTACACATATAAAAAAAACAAATGGCAAATGTCATAAGTCAAGTCAATGTGTTTCGCTGTAGTTGCCACTTCTTCAGGACTTTATATTAGTAGATGACAGATGCCAACCATAGATAATCTTTAGTCCAAGATCAAAAAGGATACAGAATAAATACGTTACATAGGCATAAATCAACAATTCTCCACCACATTTACAAAATTCCAAAATGGAAAGTGGGAGGGGACATGAATGGGAGGAGCAAGAAAGGAGGAAAAACAAATCTATACACACCAAATAACTTACAGAAACCACATAAATAGAGAGAAGAGTATATCTATTCATGTTTTTGCAAGTTATTGAGTCTATTGAGTCTATATATGTTTGTTGTGTATGTTTTTGTTTTTTTTTTGTTCTTGCTCCTCCCCTCCATGTCCCCTCCCCTTTCTATTTTGGGGACAGGGTTTTTTTTTAATAAGTCTTATGGTATTTTGCAAATGGGGTGGAAATTGTTGATATGTTAAATTTGAGATATGAATGTGCTGGTAGTTAAGGGGTAGAGCTCCTGTCCGATTTTCATGGTTGTCTGTGTCTTTGTTTGAGAGATGTTCTTACTCCTGTACCAGTGACGGGGAAGGGGGGTCAAAGGGACAGGAAGTAAGGTGAAATCTTTCAGATACCGAAAACAAATTTTATTCAAAACTAAGAAAATTCAAGGATGTAGATGAAAGGCAGCCAAGTCCTATTTAAGAGTAAGGTACTCTCACTGCAATCACACAACTTTTCTGTAACATAATTTTCAGGGCTTTCACTAAGGGGGAGTGTTGTCGAAAAGCTGGTTCTCACAAATCTTTAGTGACAAACCGACCACACAAAAGTCCATTGAATGCAGTTGCATCAAGGTTGTGATGAGGCTCCACCCATTTTCATGGTGCACGGTGGAAGGCAGTATCTCGTGCTGAATGTGATGAGCCTTAAAGTTTGTGGTGTGTTTTTTTAACATGCTGCAAAAGTTGAAGGTGTTTTTATTTAACCCTGAGGGACTGTGTTGGGCTTTGGGCTTGTGTTGACACCATCAGTTTGAGATGATGCTTTTGAGAGAATTCAGAATTCATTGACAGGAGTAGTTGACCTGCAGTTTTTTATTTCAGGTACTTATATAGCGCCGTCAATTTACGCAGCGCTTTACATATATATTGTACATTCACATCAGTCCCTAACCCTCAAGGGGTGTACAATCTAAGGTTCCTAACTTGCCTTCATACATACACATACTAGGGCCAATTTAGACAGGATCCAATTCACCTACCAGTATGTCTTTGAGGTGTGGGAGGAAACTGGAGTACCCGGAGAAAACCCACGCAGGCACAGGGAGAACATGCAAGCTCCAGGCAGGTGGTGCTGTGATTGCAGTTGATTTGCTTCAAATTAGTTTCGCATTTCCATAGTCCTGTATGGAGATGTAAAACCCATTTAAAGCTAATAGAGGCTTGTCATCACAGGCAGTAAGGTTTCGTTTACACTAACCATGTGGCAATAGAACAATGTTTTTTGACTATTTTTTTTTTTTTTTGTGGTATTTCTTGATTATTATTTTTTGTGTTTGTGTGTCCTTCTTCTTCTTTTTTAATAATAAAGCGGAAATAAAACATTTACTGTAAAAAGAAAATCTATGTATTACTTTTGGTGTCATAAGTTTAAAAGTTATTAATGTAAAAATTATTTTGTTCCACAGCAGATATACAGGAGTAGGAACTCAAGTTGTTGAGGACTTGGGGCCCATTCACACATCATGATCTGCTGCAGCGCCTTAAACACACATGCATTAGTGCCCGCTATGGGAAGACAGCCCATTCATTAGAATGGGCTGTTTATTGCACCACAAGGGATTAAAAATCACACATGCAATATTTGGCAGTGTGATGCCTTGGCTTGGTTTGTTGCAATTCAGGGGTGCTGGGAAGGTTCATTGTGGGTGCATTACTGCAACATGTTGATGTGAATAGCCCCTTAGAGATGCAAAAAAGGCACAGAGTCTAAAAAACGACTTCACGTCAAACACTGCTGTTGGATATCTGTTTATCCTACGTGGTTTGATTTTTGACCGGTGTGCAATTCGATAAAAAACAATCACATTTACAAACACTCGAATAGCCACAGCTTCCTTTCCAATCGATTTTAAGAATCAATTTAGTTTGAATTCAGTCAAACTGAATCTGTCGGACAGGGCGTAAAATTATCAATCTTTGCATCAATCCACAGCACTGGGATACTTTGTTCATGAATACGATCATATTACAATTGGATTATGAGATTATACGGTGGACGCTAAGACGCGATCTATATGATATTATTGTAATTAGTTGCTTATAATTGTAATTAGTTATGTATTGATTGAAATCCACCTCCGTATGTGGGATATGGATCAAATGGGTTGTCAACAATAGACTGACTATTTCTGTTAGAAGAATTTGATCCGGAAAGGCGTTTATTATTTATCAAAGCATGTATTGCCACCATTAGACTTGCATGTGTACCATAGATATTTATCTAATGTAGAAAAATAGGTCAAACATATTTCAAATGATCAAAGTGGACCTAGGATATTTTTTTTTTTTTTTTTTGTAAAGAATGACAAAAATAACCTTTCCCTATAATTTTAGATAATATAAATTACTTTCTCAGTCAAAAAAGGTGACAGTCCTAACTGTAAAGACCCTAGCTTTTTGGTTATTATGCTCTGATATTTCTGATATACAAATATATACCTTCTTCAGAGGAATAATGTAAAATAAACTGCCTGTTTCAGTAACATGCTAGTGACTATAAAGATAAAGAAATACTGTGTATCCCACCCGTTCAAAAGGGCTAAAAATTAATGAATTGATAACTGTGTGTTTTTACTTTATTGGTGAAAATATATACATTGTTCTGAAACCTCTTTCTGATATACTGTTCGTAAGTTACTATTTGGATTCAGATGACAGGTTGCACAGTGAGCAGAGTCAGTGACCTCAAAGCTGACGCATTTCTTTTCTGCTACTATTTTTTACTATAGAAGCTTCTGGCTGACGACAGATTTGTATCCGTGGAAACAGACTCAGATGAGCGGCAACTACTTAACCAAATGCTCAACGCTGTTAAAGTGACTCCATCCCTACATGAAGATCTACAGGTTGAAGTTATGAAGGTATGCAGTATATAATGAATTAAAGGGTACGAATGCACAAAGCACAAATTGTGTATAATGATATTAAAACAAAATCTTGCAGGCACGTATGGCCTCATGTACACTGGGTGCTAGCCCATGTGACTCCAGCATTTAGGTGTGGGAGGAGGGCCTTGAAGCACTGTCTATCCCGGCTATTGCCAGTCTGTAAACATCTATATGAGAAGCTAAAAGCTACTGCGGCTGAACTGTTTTACCTGGCAGAACCAGTATCTGCTCAGGGACAAATGGTCAGAACACAGACTGCTTGTATTCCGGGCACTTTTTTACTGGGTGCATACTGATTCTGTGCTCCATTCAGCCACAGCAGCTGTCAGCAGCAGGGCTGCGGATGATCAATAGGTGGTGCGCTTGCATTGCGCCTTCCAATGATCAATAGGTGATGCTTTAAATTCAGCAGCAGGGCTGGATGGGTGCGCTTGCGCCTTCCAATGATCAATAGGTGATGCTTTAAATTCAGCAGCAGGGCTGGATGGGTGCGCTTGCGCCTTCCAATGATCAATGGGTGATGCTTTAAATGCCTTTACAGCTCATCAGTTTAGAGTAAACTGTAAATGATGGCCCTGGAATTATTGCTCTTACATGTGTGGTTTACATACACTCTGTGCGCATGTTTTGCATTTTTGGGGCAGGACAACAGAGGTGTGTGTGATGTGTGTAAAAAATAAATAAAAAATATATATATATATATATATATATATATATATATATATATATATATATATATAATATATTAAAATTAAATTTTTCTCCCCTCGCCCTTCAGGACCGCACCTGGGGAGAGCACAGCTCCACCCATAACACAAAAGAAACACCGCAGCTTTAAAGTCCACCTCTTCCACCATGCCCTCAGTTATGGTGTTTCTTCTGCCATGGTGGAAGCGCCGCAGGGAACCTGGACGGGGGGGGGGGGGGGCTGTAAGCTACGCACTCTGCAGGATAGAAGAAACAGAGGGTCCAGCAGCAGCGGTGGAAGCAGGCTCATCCTGCAACAGCCTACCCCAGGTAAGGGGGATACAGTGGGGCCCTCTATCCTTACAGTGGGGCTCGTTTGGTGTTTTCACTTTGGTTTTGTTGCCTTTCATGGTACGGAAGCCTGCTGCTGTGGTACAGAGGTGACTCCGCTCTGCTCCTCAGCTCGGGAATGGGGTGACTTAGGGGTTTTTTGGGCTAAGTCTCCCCCCTCTGTCTCTCGCCCTCTCTCGCACCTTGACAGTGGGTTTTGAAGGTGGGCTAAGGAGGGTCCGGACGGAGGGGAGCCTGATGTAGTTTTTTATGTTGCCCTGCTCCTTTTTTATGTTTTAGGTCAAGGCCACGGTCAAGACAAAAGGGGTCTCGCCAATTAAAAGAAAGTGTCCATCTTGTAGGAGTTACCTGAGAGATTCATGGCCGAAACCACTCTGTAAAGCATGTGTGGCGGATTAGCAAATGAAGCAATGCAGTGATATGTTTGCGGCTGTCAAAAAGGAATTGTCAGAGACACTGGGATCGGTCCGATCTTTGCTGGATAAACTGCCGACGCTTCACCCTCCTTTGCAACAGAGCACATCGTCCAGTACTCGGCCATCCTTTTCAGGACAGAAGGATATCAGCGACTCAGATGAAGAGAGAGTGCATCCTCCCATCCCTCAGAGATTCGGAAGAGGAGGATGGTGAGGAGCAAGTTGCAAGCTCATCCAGATACAAACTTTCATTGGAGGAGGTGGACGACCTGCTGGAAGCAATATATATAAGACTCTGGAGATCCAGGAGGAGAATGTCCAACTGTCAGTCCACGATAAACTGTACCAAGGCCTGGGACAAGCTAAACATAGTCTTCCTGGTCCATCGGGTTTTATCAGACTCCATAAAGAAAGAATGGAAGGATCCAGAAAGGGGCCCTTTTTTCTCCAAATCCCTAAGAAGAAGGTTTCCCTTTTGAAGAAGACGTGTCCCTGGTGTAGAATAAGAAACTGAGATTGTATGCAGCCTTCTCCCAGGTTTCAAGACGCACGGACCTGGCTTTTGAGAGGATATGGGCATTCTGAAGGTTGCAATGGATAAGCGGGTAGACTCTCTCCTTAAAAAAGCATGGGACTCTTCCCTGACCAACCTCAAGCCGGCTATGGCCTCCATGGTGGTGGTGAGAAATTTGGAGTGCTGGTTAAAACAGCTGAGGGATCCTGTCGAGGCGGGGACCTCCAGGAGGGAGCTTTTGGAGTCATTCCCGGTCCTTCTAAAAGCCGTGAAGTATATGGCTGACGCATCAGCTGAATCAGAATGACGGCCAGATCTTCGGCATTGGTCAACTCAGCTAGGAGAGTCATCTGGCTCAAGACTGGTCGAGAGACTCGGCTTCTAAGATGAAGTTATGCGGAATCCCCTTTTCTGGGGACCTGCTCTTTGGCTCGGATCTGGAGTCAGTGCTGGATAGAACAGAGGATAAGAAAAAGGCTTTCCCGTCAAAGTAAGAAGCAACTGGTCAAAGATATTTTGTCCTTTTTCACAAACCCAAAGAAATAGGGAACAGATCCAGAGAGTTTCCAGAGAAACAGGGGTGAAGGAGGGGTACTCTTCAGACCCCCAGAGCTGCTGTCCAAGAGCCAATGACATCTCTCTTCCGGTGGGAGGGAGGCTTCGGGCCTTATCACTGTGGGAAGGAGCAACATCCAGTGCCTTCATCAGTAATATTGTGTCCCAGGGGTACAGCCTGGAGCTCTCCCGGACCCCACCAAACAGATTTTCTGTGACCAGTCTCCCAAGGTGTCAGGAGATGGCCTCAGCAATGACATCCCTTTTGAAGGAATTGATGCAGCAGGAGGTCATCATTCAGGTGCCAAGGGAACAAGAAGGGGGTTCTACTCGCACATCATCTTAGTCCAAAAGCCTTCAGGGAAGTTCCATCTAATCTTGAATCTAAAGCTACTGAACAGGTCCATTTGGTGCAAGCACTTTTGCATGGATACAATTTTTTCAGTAAGGAAGCTTTTATCCCCGGGTTGCTTCATGGCAACTATCGATCTGTGGGACACTTATCTTCATATTCTGATTGCTCAATCTTCTCAGAAGTTCCTCTGACTGGTGGTCAATCTGGGATCGTCCATCTGAAACCTGCAGTTCAGAGCTCTACCCTTCGGCCTGTCATCTTCTCCAAGGGTGTTCACCAAAGTCATGGTGGAAGCACTAGAACCTCATGAGGTTGAGATTTGTTTTTGGTGGTGCCATACTTAGACAATCTACTTATGTTTGCAGAAACCAGGATGCAGCTGCTGTTGGATCTTCAGATGACTCAGGCTCATCTGAGAAGCTTGGGATGGCTGTTAAATCTGGAAAAGTCCAACCTGATTCCGGCCCAGAGAATAAGGTTCCTGGGTTATATAATATGAAATTCACCCTAAAAATGCTCAAAAAAAAATTCCCCAATATGCTAAATAAACTTGAAAGACCATACAGTCCCAACCCTAAAAGTCAAATTATTCACCAGTGTCCATAAATAAAGTCTTTCAAAATTCCGATTCCAACAAAGGAAATAAACTCCAAAATCTTTGCTGTCGAGCCCTCCAAATTGGCTCCAAAGGAAACGTGAACCTCAAAATAAGAAAAAACTTTGATAGTGTATTACCATTATTAAATCAATCCTAAAAAATTAACAAATGTGCACTGTACACTTCAAATAAACGTGACCCCATATGTGATTGTGAACACTGTAACAACCGTGATCGTGCATCACTCTGTGAATTAGAAACATTTCAGAATTATTACCAGTGACATTCAGTGTGTACTTCTACAGTGTAAGGAATGAATACCCTTACCAAATTGCTATAATAACACACTAGTAATCCAGCAGGGGATATATTCATTAATCTCCAAAGACATCTTCACAGCCTGAGTAATAATCCCATAGATGTCATCACAGCCTCATTGATAATCAGAAGATGTCATCATGGCCTCAACAGCAGTACTCCATAGTACCCTCAGTACCCATGCTCCACAGATGTGTATATATAAATATATGAAAAAGGATATAGTGTAATTCTGCTTTGAAATATCACAATACACTTTATTATTGCTCTTACATGATTCACATTAAAAAAAAGCCTTATTCCCATGACTCCAAACCTCGAAGCAGCGTCCAGGAGTTTTTGGTGTGATTTTTTTTTTTCCACTTCTCAAAATGGCCACTCCGCTACTTCCGGTTCCTCCGCTTATGTCCGACTTCACGTCCCTTGATGCGTTTCGTCACTTCCAGGACTTATTCATTCTCAATTTAGAGCGGGTCCTGCCATGGTCATTTCCGAAGGCTGAACACTTAACGACAGACGCGAGTGCATGGAGGTGGGGAAATCAGTCGGCACAGGGCTCATGGTCCAAAGCGGAGGCCAGGAAGTCCTCCAGATGGAGGGAATTGAAAGCCATCCAGCTGAGTCTTCTTTCCTTTCATCAGTCTGTGAAAGGGCAGCACATTCAGGTCCTATTGGACAATACAACAGTGGTAGCTTCCATTTTAAGGCAAGGGGCACAAGGAGCAGGGGCATCTCCTGGAGTTGGCTTTAGAGATCCTGTCTTGGGCAGAAAAGAATTTTGGCCTCCCTCTCGGCCATTCATGTAAAAGGTTCACAGAATTGGCTGGCGGATTCCTGAGCAGAAGAAAAGTAGTAGAATCCGAATGGGGATTGAATCAGGGAGTGTTCCAGCTGATCAAGGAAGCTTGGAGTGTTCCTCAGGTCAACCTATTTGCAAGCCACCTAAACACAAAGGCATCTGTGTTTTTCTCCCACAGGGAAGACCAGGCTCTGGGTCTGGACGCGTTCGCTCATCCCTGGAATTACCCTTTGACCTACGCATCCCCCCCACCCATTTTCAGCTCATTCCTCTAGTACTTTGAAAGTTCAAGCAGGAAACAACAAGCTTAATTCTGATAGCACCCACTGGCCAAAAAGGCCTTGGTTCTCGACACTTCAGAACCTATCCTCCAAACCTCC